CCCCAAGCTGAACCCCTGGAATGCCCAACTCCAGCTTCTGCCTGAACTTCAGACGCCAGGCGCCCGGCTCCTGGTCGACTTCACTTTCAGGCCTAAGGGCTTCTCAAGACTAAAATGCCCCAAAGTGGGCTCCGGATATCAGCTGCTGCCCCGGCCCCCACACAACCCGCCCCCTTGCAGCCACCTTGTCCAGGTGAGGCCATTCCTTCCCCGAAGCTGCTCAGGCCAAAGCCCTGGACTACACAGACCTCGTGGACCCAGACCGTGTGGGTTTCGTTTCTCTTCTCCTCCTCCCCAGGCAGCAAAGAAGGTGACATTTCTTATCTTCCAACCAGATCAATCACGCTAATAATATCAGCTTATTTTGTAACTCTTTTTTGAGGGCTATTGGAGATTGAACTCAGGGCCCCCATCCACTGAGCCACATCCCCAGCCCTATTCTGTATTTTATTTAGAGATAGGGGCTCACTGAGTTGCTCAGTGCCTTGCTTTTGCTGAGGCTGGCTTTGAACTCGAGATCCTTCTGCCTCAGCCTCCAGAGCCACTGGGATTATAGGCATGTGCCACCGTACCCAGCTGTAACTCTTAATTAATGGGTGTACACACACACACACACAGGTGCTAGTACTGCAGATTCTTAGAACTGAGGCTCAGTGAGTCAAATGACCCTCCCTCAGCAAACAGGCAGCAAAAGGCACAGGCTCTCGTTCCCACCCACAATGCCTCTACTCTTTAGTTCTACAGCAAAGAGAAAAGTAGGAAGGAGCCGGAGAAACACCGCAAAAGGTAGAGAAGAGGGACAATAAAGTGGTGGGGGAATGTCTGCTCAAACCCTTCACTGGTTTCCTGTTTCAATGAGGATGAAACCCACAGTCCTCCTGTGCCCTACAGAGCCTAGCTGCTCTGCTCTGTCACCTCCCTGACTTTGACAGTGCACACCCCCTGACCACTTGCCTCAGCCCCAGGAGGAATCCACTGCAGCCTTTGTACTCTGCCTTTAATAGATTGTGTCACTGCTGCCTCAGGGCCTTTGCACTCGCTCCTCTGTCTGGAATGTTCCTTTCCAGAAGTAGACATGGCACTTTCTCCCTTTCTTGTCATCTTCTCTGGTTTTATCAGTTGAAATCACCCCCACCCCCTGCCCCAATTTCCAAGCCCTCTTCCTTGCTTTATTGTTTGCTCCTTGGCACTTATAACCACATGCAACATCTATCTGCATGTTATATTTACTTTTTAAAATTTATTGTCCATTTCTCCCCACTTCTGCCATCACCAGTAGAAAGTACACTTCATGAAGGCAGGGATTTTTGCCTCTTTTGTGTATGTTATACAGGATGACCTAGAACAATGCCCTGCACGTCTGATGAGCCTCCGTCAAGTCAGGGTGGCTTAGTGTTGTGCATGTATGAGCATGAGGTCATCATCAACACACCAGGCATTGTTAGGTGTAATCACAACTCAGACTTCTTCCCTAGTGGGCAGAGTTAAAGAAGGAACCCATCCCCACAGTGATCCTGAGGAAAGGGACCAGGAGGGGCACCAAAGGCACCCTGGTTTCCTTAAAAAGACATCCCTCCCTCCTGTTGGAATAGTGACATTGATGCTGGCTAGACCTCAGGACACGAGCGCCTAACATACACAGTGGCTTCCAAGGGCAGGCAGTCAATAGGCTGGGCGTGGAGTGGGGCGGATCACTCTTGGACCATCCGACTCACTGTAGAGGAAGAACTCAGAGCAAGCCAAAGGCTAATTGGTCCGGACCCAGACCTGCCTTGCTACTGACTCCCTAGAAGCTGGATGAAGGCAAAGGTCTATTTATCATGTTGTTGAAAGACAGTGGGAGAGAAGGGAGCCTCCAAACGGAAGGTGAGAATTCTAACCCTGCCATTCTGAGGTCCTTCTCTGCGCCAGGCACTGGCCAGACACCATGGTGAGCCTCTATGATACCTCTGCTGGGAGGCCACACATGTCATCTCCTCATACCAGAGACACCGAGAGCTCACGTGACTCCCCAGAGCTGCAGAGAGAGTAAGGGACAGAACTGGAGGACAGGCCAGTGCAGGTCTGGCCTGGCTTCTGGAGGCACCCGGGAGATGTATGGCGCTGCTGCAGGAGGAGAGGAGGGCACTTGGGACAAGGAGGGCTCGTGGAAATGCCTGCTGCCCACTTCAGCCGACCCCATGTGCCCAGCAGCCCATCTCTTACTTCTGGTGGTCTCAAACAGCCCCCAGAGATGGCTTGGCTCTGAACAGCACCGAGGTCCAGCTTCTAGACCATTGGAAGCCTGGCCACGCTCCGGCACTTGGTCTCCATAAGATGCCCTACATCCTTGATTTAAATTCCTTCCTGTTTAAACTGGCTTCAGAGGTTCTTACTCTCACAGCCAAAGAATCCTAACTCACATAAAAATCAGGAGTGTCAACACATTTAAAAGAGAATTTAGAGAAATGTAAAAGTCAGTGAATTTCCTTTCCAAACTTGGAAAGGCAAAATAACCAAATTCTAGTACTTTTCCCAAACATGAATTTATAATAGGTTTTTCGAATTAAAAGAAAAAAAAGCATCAGGAGACCATCAAATGTAACAAGGTATTTTGTTTTTGTTTTTTTAAAGAGCAGGTTTTAAGAATGAATTTTGAGTTGGGCACAGTGGTACGCACCTATAATCCCAGCGGTTTGGGAGGCTGAGACGGGAGGATTGCAAGTTCAAAACCGGCCTCAGCAATTTAGTGAGGCCCTAAGCAATTAAATGAGAGCCTGTCTCAAAAAAAAGAAAAGAAAAAGGAGGAGGAGGGCTGTGGATATGGCTTAGTGGTTAAGCAACCTTGGGTTCAATCCCTGATACCAAAAAAAAAAAAAAAAAGAATGTTTTGAGGAGGAGAAAGAAGTTCCTTTCTCTAAAATAAAACAAATCAAAACAAGAACAACAGGCAAATAGCATGATACTTTATTCATTTTCTAGATAGTAACAGAAGAGAAACTTCTGATTGAGTTAGTTAAAGGGTCTATTTGTTTGAAAAGTCTTTGGAACAGTTCATTCCAAAGTAAAAGCAGACACTCAAAGTCAGTAATTTAACTTCTACTTTAAATAAAAATTTGAAATGCCTATAATTTCTTGGAATGTGCAGAAATGCCTTTGGTTCATTTAATAGGCATTCAGCAAATGCCTACTGCACATGGCTCCCTTCAATTTCCAGAACAAATAGGAAGCAATTGAAAGTAGAGCAAAACTTTCCCACCTGGCCAATGAATAGGCTGGTTTGTCCCTCCTAGGCACGATTGCATAACTGGGCTGTAATAGATGTAAGAGGCAGGTGCTAAGCACAAAAATAACCAAACAGGGCTTTCTGAGTGACTCCTCTCCTTTCTATTCGGTAATTGCAATGGCTGACATGAAGGAAGTATAAGGAGAGGAAATGAATGGCGGGGATAGGATGATGCATTAATTAAAATTTGTGTGCCTCCCCCATTTAAAAAAAATGAGAGCCATTCATTACCGCTTTGGGCTCCTTTCTTTTTTGGGTATCTAAAGATCTACACTAAATCTGCTGCTTTAAGCCAATGTCCAGTTAGATGGTGAAGCAGGGATATAGCTTAGCTTCCATGGCTGCAGCTGGTGCCTGAGGAATTTGCACGTGGTTTATGGAGGCACAGCCTTTTAAAAGATCACCCCAGGTTCCATGGATCTCACCTTTAGAAACCTCTGTGATTGTATTAAGGAGCAAGTTTTGCTTGGATTCCACCCTTGCAGGTGAGAGAGAGCCAGATTCTCTATGGTCTCCTCCACTGATTGTTGGAGTTAATGGTTACTGTCAGTGAAACCACAGGTACAGTCTTTCTTGCTGAAGACAATTATTATACAATTTTATTTTCTATGTGGAAAGAGAAATAGGAGATTTGATTTCTAAAACACCCACTTCCACAGGGTACTCAGATGTGGAAGGCATGATGGTAACTCTGTTGATGGAGAGCTTTCTATTACTTGGCCCTGATATTTTGAGAGTTCTCTATTTACCAAGTGTCACGCTAGCACGGCCCTGTATCTCAGGGTGTTCCCCGCAGGGCAGCCCATGCTGGGGGAGGCTCAGTTCTTCTGCCTTAGGATCATCAGCCCTGGTCCCCACTTTGAATGTCAAACATCTCTTACCTTCTGCTCTCAATCCCCCTACCTCTCTTTCCTCTGCCTCTTCTCTACTTTTTGCCAAGTTTCTCTGGCTCCTTCTTACTTTTCTCTTTGCTGTAGAACTAAAGGGGAGAGGCATCGTGGGAACGAGAGCCTTTGCCTTTTGCTGCCTGTTTGCTAGGGGAAGGTCATTCGATCTCACTGAGCCTCAGTTCTGAGAATCTGCAGTATTAGCACCTGCGTGTGTGTATGTGGGTGGGGGGGTGGCCGTGTGGGTGGGCATGTGCCATCTGAGCTAGGTTATGTGTACACCCATTAATTAAGAACTACAAAAGAAGCTGGCATTATTATTGGATAATAATATATAGATATATTAATATGGGTCTAGTTGGAGAGATAGAAATGTCACACCCTTTGCTGCCTGGGGAGGATGAAAGGAGAGAAATGGAAACCCACTTGGTCTGTATGCCAGCAATGACCTGCTGCATTCCAAAGTCAATTACATATGTGCAGTCTGTGCCACTTGCCTGAGGTAGTAGTTGCTGGCTCTGTCTCCATGCACTGGAGAGCCATCTGTGATGGTTTGCTTGGCTACCTTTGGCTTTCTGCTTTGCTGGGGCTTTCCTTCCCCTCACACGCTTGGCCCACTGTGTGCCCTAAGAGGCTTACAGTAAGCCAGCAAGGAGAAAGTGTACTGTCCTGAGGACAAAAACAACACAGACCCACCCAGCAACCGCTTGGCTGGGCCGAGTTTTTCCAAAACTGGCGCCTCATCCCCTTTGTTACCCTTTCAGAATGTCTGGCTAGAGTTTACAGAGAGTTTTCAACTCTGCAATGTCATCCACCCTAATCCCGTGTGGCATTTATCACATTCCCTTAAAAAAAAAATAACAGCTTTATTGAGAAATAATTCACTTGGCATAAAAATACAATTCAGTGATTTTTCGTATATCCAAGGAGTTGTGCAAACGTCACTACAGTCGATTTTGGAAGATTTTCAACATTCTGAAAAAAAAAAAAAAACGCCATTTGCAGACATTCTCTTTCCCTCCCTCCAGCCCCTGGTGACTGCTAATCTACATTTGTCTTAGTATTTGCTTATCCTGGATTCTGCATATAAATAGAGTAGCATGTGACCTTTTGTGACTGGTTTCTTTCCCTTAGCATGTTTCCAAAGCCCATTCATGTGATGACAAGCATGGGTACTTCACCCCTTTATATGGCTGAATAATATTTCATTGTAGGACTATAGTCCTGGTGGATCTCTTCATCAGCGGAAGAACACTTGGGCTGTTAGGAATAATGATGCTATAACTTCTGTGCACAGGTTTTTGAATGGATATATGGTTTTACTCCTTAGTATATACCTAGAACAGGAAGTACTGGGTCATGTGGTCTCCACATTTAACTTTTTTTGGGATCTGCCAAATTGTTTACCAAAGTGGCTGCATAGTTTTACATTCTCACCAGCAATATACAATGGTTCCAATTTCTCCATATCCTCACATCTCACTCTACTTACCAGTTCTCTCTGCATGAGTCCAACTACTCCTCTTAGACTTAAGTTCCAAGATATCACACTGGCAGATACAGAACTTCAACCATGATGCGTTCTGAGTAAGTCTCTGCTGTTAGTTGGGTGCACTTTTAATTATAACCAGTTGAACTTCCTAACTAGAGGATATACCTACATCAGGAGAAAATACAGATCTAATATTACATCCTCCAAAAGAACCTACCACACAAATACAGCTGCCATTCATTTGAGCACTTACTGGATTCTTCTTACATATGGCCTCATTTTTTTTTTTTTTCCTGAGCAAGTGAACTGATTGTCCAAGTAATCAACAGCATAGCTGAAATTCACACCCAAGTTTTCTTTGAATCACATTGTCCTTTAATGTGAAGGAATTCTCTTGAGCTTCTCCGTTTTCACTTTATAAAAATCACCAAAAGCAAGGATCAATGTTGAGCATAGTACATAAAAGTAATTAAAAATAGAATTCCTTCTAATTATATTAATTTTGGAGACTGATAAAATGACTAACAAATCGAAATATAAAAGTAAGGTTGGTTTCACGGTCTAGCCCCTTATTTGCAACTGCATCTGGTAATACAAGGTTAAGCATGTGTAACTGCTTAAGATTTTCCTGAATTCCCTCAAATGTTGGCCCTTGTGTTTCCAAACACCACCGCACGGCAACCTGAGCGCTGCCAGCTCAGCCATCAGCCTAAGGGCCCAAGGGCCTAAGGGCTAAGACCCTGCCTGGCATCCTCCAGTAAGCACCAATAGCCTCCAGAAAAGAACCAGCTACAGGCCTTTGCCCCTGACAAATATGGTCGCGGTTAGGCTTCAGGCTAGGGGCGGTGAATGAGGATCACCTGATGAGAATCCCGTTCTTTTATTGGTCTTCTCTCCGGGAAGGGCCGGACACGGTAACCCAGCTGGGGCCGGCTTAAAGGGACCGCCGCAGAACCCGCTGGAGCTCCGCCTTCTGGGCTGGGCAGGCGGGGCGCCGCGCGGGCTTTCTGCCCCTCCCGCGCTGGACGGAGGCGGGCGGGGCGGGCGCTTGGAGGCCGCGTCTCCGGGAACCGTGGTGACAGCCGGCGGCCGGCAGCCCCGCGATCCCGAGGGGGTTAACCGGGAGCCAGCGGCCGCGGCGCGGAGGAGAGAGCGCTAGGCTCCGGCGCGCGAGCCCGGCGCAGCCGGCGGGGGCGCACAGGGGCGCGCGGGCGCGAGCGCGGGGATGGAGGACGGCGTGGCCGGGCCCCGGCTTGGGGCGGCAGCGGAGGCGGCCGAGGCGCGGGCGCGGCCCGGGGTGACGCTGCGGCCCTTCGCGCCCTTCTCCGGGGCGGCCGAGGCCGACGAGGGCGGCGGCGACTGGAGCTTCATCGACTGCGAGATGGAGGAGGTGGACCTGCAGGACCTGCCCAGCGCCACTATCGCCTGCCACCTAGACCCGCGCGTGTTCGTGGACGGCCTGTGCCGGGTGAGGGCTGGGCCGGGCGGGCCGTCGGGGCGGAGGGCGGACACTTGTTGCCCCTAGGAAGCGGGTCGCAGCGCCGAGGTACGCCGCGGATGGCAACCCCGGGACGCCCGGACGCGGGCCCTTGCCCCCGGGGTGGCGCTCCGCGGGTCCCCAGTCCCCGAGCGCCTGCCGGCCGCGCGCAGCTCTGGAAGCGGGTCTTCAGCGGCTCCGCTCCGCTCGGCCGGGGCTTGCCATTGCTTCCCAGCGACGCCTCTGCGCCCGGTGGGTTTTCGGGTGGGGACGAATTAGGACCCGAGCGGCCGCCCAGCTCCTGTCGCCCCCCTGGGGCGTTAGCCACAGCCCTGCATTTACTCGACAGGGGAGGGGGGTCACCTCATTCATAGGGAGGAGGAAACAGACGTTGAGCGGCGACGTGACTCACTGTTCATAAATACGACGACGTCTCTGCATTCTCAATCTGCACTATTGGAAGAAAAGCCAGTGTTTGGGTGAGGATCCGTGGTTGCTCATTATCCTGCGGTTCGTTGGCCAGTTTTGGTCGAATGGTGTTAGGGGGAAGGGGACCATTTTCAAAACCTTTCGGATATTTAGCCAGGAAGCTAGCTCCCTTGAAGGAGTGACATGCCACCACCAGGGACACTCAGTACCTTGGGAATTGATCCCCCTCCCCCAAATCCGCACATTTTTAGACACTTTGGAGGGTGAGAGAGCAAGTATGAGTAATCAATGATGGCGGTGGGGAGGAGGAATTTATTCCAATCTTCAGTTATTGTGGAGGAATAAAATTTGGACAGTGTAGGCGTTGCAGAATGAAACCTGCCTTTGATAGCTGCCCCGTTAAGAGAGCAGCTGTCAAAAAAGCAATGCTTTCAGGCTTGGCTCTGGGTCCACAGGCACTGTCAATGAACTGTAGTTGAAGCTGCTGCCAAGAGGAACACTAGTGTGGAAAGGGAACGGTGTGCCTTGGTCTCATTTATTTATAACTTATTTGCCCATTTACTTTCAGAAAGGTTTTTATAATGGCCACATCAACTTCTGGGCATGCTTTCTAGAGCAATAACTGTCACCAACACAGGGTCTTCCTCATCTTACTCCCAAACCTGTTCTTCTCAGGCAGCAGTGGCTAATGCTTGGCTTCTCCTCCCAGCCACTGGGGAACCCATGTCAGGAGAATTGCAAGTTCAAAGCCAGCCTCAGCAACTTAGAGAGACCCTGTCTCCAAATTATATTTTTATTATTTATTTATTTATTTACTTATTGAATAAAATAAAATAAAATAAAAAATAAAGGACTGGGGATTTAGTTCAGTGGTAAAGTGCCCTGGATTCAATCCCCAGTACCAAATAATAGATAGATAAATAAAACAAAAAATAAAGCTGCTTCTTCTCTGGGTAGGATAAGCACCTTTCTTAGGGGGTCCTAGGCTATTCCCTGGAGTAAGATCAAGTCATGTAAAACTGCATTGGGTGTCCAGTGCAGTTGCTGGATGAATTTCTGGGTGTCAGGTGAGTTGCTGGGTGTCCAGCAATTCATAGTTTTCATTTTCTTCCCAGTGTCAGGAACAGGCCCCAGACTGCTTCATTTAAAGATTGGCCCACTTTGCCAACTCTTCATTTTAATCTTTATTGGGATTCTGCTGTAGGCCAGGAACTGTTCTAGGAGCCGAGGCTACATCACTGACTACATTAGCATTTTCGTTTTGAGAACTGACATCTTTGTTGGAGGAAGCAGATAATAAACAAATGTCAAATATATCAGAAGATGACGGTGCCATAGGGAAAAACAGACTTGGGGCTGGACGTTTGGGAGGGATGGAGGTGGTGGCTTTCCATCAGCTGATTGGGGAAGGCCTCACCCATGGGCAGTGCTTTGAGTGGACACACTGGGCTAGCTTGTGTCCCATTTGTGCATTCTCTGTGTTGACTGGTGCCCTGTTCCAGGCATGGTTTTGGCCTGAGGACAGTGGTGAACTTGCCAGGCTCCCCGCTTTTATGAGCTTGGGCTCTAGTGACTGGGGAAGAGGTGGACCCTAAAAAAGCAAGTAAACAAGGCACTTGTAGATACAGTTAGTTGTCTCTTGGTATACATGGCGATTTTTGGTTCTAGGAAACCCCTTAGTACTAAAAGTCCATGTTATGTGCTTAAGTCATGGCATTTGCTATAACCTAAGTACATCTTATACTTTAAATTATCTCTAGTTACTTTTTTTCTTTTTCTTTCATTTTTTTGTGGGGGGTACCAGGGATTGAACTGAGGGGCACTCGACCACTGAGCCACATCCCTAGCCCTATATTATTTAGAGACAGGGTCTCACTGAGTTGTTTAGCGCCTCACTTTTGCTGAGGGTGACTTCAGACTCACAATCCTCTTGCCTCGGCCTCCTGAGCCACTGGGATTACAGGTGTGCACCATCATGCCTAGCATCTCTAGTTACTTTTTTTAAAAAAAATATTTTTTGATGTTGATGGACCTTTATTTTATTCATTTATTTATATTCAATGCTGAGAATTGAACCCGGTGCCTCACATATGCTAGGCAAGTACTCTGTCACTGAACCACAATCCCAGCCCCTCTAGTTACTTTTAATACCTAACACAACTTGATCTGTAAATAGTTGGTATGCATACTTTTTTCAGGAGTAATGATAAGGAAGAAAGTCTTTACCTATTCAGTGCTGATAAATTAATTTTGATTCATGACTGGTAGACTCTGCAGATGTGGTGCCTGAGCGGATGAAGGGCTGATGGTAGTGACAGACACAGCGGCAAACATGGCTGTTAATGAAAGTGGGCTAGAGAGTGACAGGGTGGGGGGCTGGGTCCTAGTGGTCAGGTCCTAGCAGACAAGAGGTCTTACTGAAGAACTGGTTTGCTGGGGTGACCCTGAGGGAATCCCTAAGAGATGTCAGGAAGCAGTGTGGCTGGAACCTAGGGGAGGAGCTACCTGGCAGGAGCCCTAGACTTAAAAGTTGCCCATTTGAGGTGTTGAGGCCCAGTCGGGAAGGGAAGCACCCATGTCTCCAACCTCAGTAGCCCTGAGTGAGCAGCCAGGAGACCAGAGAGCCCAAGCTGTAGAGTCCATAGATAGAGTCAGCCTTCCAGAGCCCAGAGAAGGGCAGAGAGTGGCTCTGGGGACCGTGTGGGTAGAAGGACACACAGAAGCCTCAGTCTGGAGCCTCTTTAGATTGAGTGGCCCAAGAAGGCCTCTGTGCAGCTCGAACTGGGTTGATAGGGTGATTTTTGTGTGGCTGGCTCCAGGCAGAGGGAATAGCAAATGCTGGAGTTCAGTGCAGGGATGAACTACGGGTAAGGCGAGAAGGAGTCCCAGGTGTGTTGAATTGGAGGTGGGGAGGTGGTGGCTGAGGTCAGGGGGCAGCCAGGGAAGGTTCCTTGGAGGGCGATGGGGTTATGGTACAGTTCAGATGTCATCTTAACTGCAAGGCCAGGTGGGGAAGAAAGATGAGTGGGCAGGAGAGAAGTGGAGAGGCAGGCTGGGGGCTGCTGCCATGGCTGGGGAGCTTGGAGGGTGATTGCTGTAGGTTCCGTGTAGGTAATGGGAAGTGGAGAGAGCCTCCATTCAGGCCCCCTTCTTCTTCTGAAGCTTGTGAGGAGCTTCCTGCCCTGGTTGCCCCTTTGCAAAGTCCTGTAAAATTTACAACAGTAGGGGAAGACAAGAACCCACTGGGCTAAGGGGTCTCAGTCCCCCAGAGGCAAATAGCTTTGGGCAGTAAGGCAATCCAGGAGCCAGAGCCACATCTTGGGATGTCATTGGTAAGCCTTCTAGAGAGTGGGTCCTTTCTCGTTTAGCTAAAACCAGCCCTCTGGGAAGATGTGGCTTCTGAACTTCAACCTGAAGCTTCCTTCAGAGTAGCGTGTCACCGTTGGGTGGTATAAGGGACATGTGGGTGTGCTTTAGAGTAGTAGTGTTCACCTTGGGTAGACAGATGATGAACTGCAAATGCCTGTGGGCTGGCATCCCCTGTCCACAGCCAGTCTGCTGGGGGCAACTGTGGAGAGAAATAGCCTGCAGAAAAAGACTCTCTCAAGCTTGTTTGCGTATAGCTTCCTATGATTCTGTAATCTGAGTCTCAAAAGCAAACAGAAATTGCCCTGACCTACTGATTCCTTTGAGAGTTTACAGAAGCTGTTCTGTAATTATTAATGTCTGGTCTGAATAGTGAGATCATCTTTATTAGCTGGATCATCATCAATAATGTAAATAATTTATAATGACTCAGTTTTTACCTAACAATAATTGGAACTATATTATTAGATTAATATCATTGTAAATTAATGAAAACTTTTATAAATGTAAGATTATTTTCTTTGTCTGTAACTACTACTTTTGTGAACCATTGTTCTGCTTCAGAAAGAAAAGCAGTGCTTTGAACCAGTAACTGCATATGCATATGCTTTGCACTGTGGGCAGTGGCTAGTTATTGGTTCTCTAGGGTAAGAGTTTACTCCACCATCATCAAGGTGACCAGGAATTTCAGAGTTCTCAAATAGTATTCTATTAGAAGCAGTGAGTAGAGTTCCACATAGCAGTGGAAACACATACCATTTTTTGGTTGTCTGAAACATGAATATTTATTTGACTGATAGAGTGTTGCTTGAAGGCTAAGTTAGAAAAATCACAAAAATCTATTCTAGTGAATATACTTTTACATACTTTAAAAAAATGCTTACCAAAGATTTGTGGTAGCTACTTCCCTTGATTCTTCTAATAAAATAATGTTCTGATTGGTAAAGAGGGAGTTTCAATGATATCCTTGAATTCTTCCATCAGGAGGCCTGCGCAGGTTGGTTCTATCACTCTAAGTGTACCTTAGAGTCTCCAGGACCTTGTGACATTCCCATTCCCTTGGCAGGCTCTGGGTGATTTTGTCGGTCACAGTCGAGGAAGGGTCACTACCCCAGCTAGAAGGGTCTGGCCTGACCCTAGGCATGACTGTATCTTGAAGGTAACCGAATACTTGATGACCAGGTTCCTCCTCTAGC